GGTTCCATCGGCGTTCCTGCCAGAGAGCAGCTTCTCAAAGTCAGGACCAGATGGATATGGCTTGGCCATTAACCCGTCTCGTCTGATAAGCATGGAGGGTATTCGGAGTTTCAACTGCGAACAAAGTGGTTAGAAAAATGCCGGATATGCTCAGACCGACGTCTACGTACCTGGATCAACATGTGGGCGAACCTAACGCCCAGCTGGCTCCCGATAAACTCTAGACGTCCTTGGATCCAAATTCGTTGCGCGTCAGTAGCATAATCCTGACCAAGGGCACAGGCGAGTGGCCACGTAAGGAAATATCCAGGCAATCCTTTTTCGGCATCTTCTTTTCCACAGCCGAAAGCGGAGAATTTGGTGTCTTCAAGCAGATGGGGGCGCTTAGCGAACCATCCCAGCTGATAAGGGACCGACGAAATGATCTCGCTGATGTTATCGACACATATCCTGGCGGCTGTAGCGTACTCTGGAGTTGTTCTGTAGTCGATTGGGGCACAGATCCAAGCGACGCAACGAACAACGAGGGAGGCCAAAATGATTCGCGAAGTTCGCATCAGATTTAAAACGCTGGCGACCCATAAATCTTGATATGCATCAACTCGGCCAGGGAAGACTTCAGCCTGGGTCAAATCACCGTTGGGCACGTTGTCCTCCCATGCCACTGTCCGCCATTTGAATTGTTCCGGCAAATCTCTAGACCAAGCCAGAAAATCCTGATCAACGGTCTGGCACTTTCGGATCATATCCAACATCAAATCAATATTCCCTGGAAGTCGGGAGAGCGTGGCGAGGAGGCGGTTAACCTCGGCTCGGAGTTCCCCAACTCGAATATTGAGACGCTGGCAACCAGCTGCAGTTTCGTCTTTGATGGCATCATTCATCCACCACTCGACGCCCATAACCGGGGGTTGGCCGCTAGTTAGAGTATGGATGATCTGGGGCGGTCGACCTTAGTTCTATGGTTGAAACAAGGGTAGGTAAGGTTGGTGGTACTAACCATTTGAGTACGAACGGCAATGAACAACGACAATCCGTTTGGGCTTTGAAGTTGTTTCTTGCCTCTAGCTTTGACAAGCTGGATGGCGCCTTCAATGTGTGAGCCCCAGGCAAGCATCCCCAATTGCTTAGCAGATATATTCTCGAACATGCCTAGGAGCAGAATAGACGCCAGAGTAGAATCCTGCCTGGAAATTTCTGGGTCGCGAAGAGCTTGATATGTAGAGGCAAGCGCCTTTGTGTACCGGGCTAGGGCCATATTTCGGATGTTGACTCCGGCCCCGACACGATTCCCAAGAGAAGCAAGAGCGCAAGCGTCAAAGGCCAGCCGGAAATGTTGTGGGTGGGATTCAGCCCTGAGCATAGGAACTAGATACTCCATGAAGCCACGAGTAGAACCCTGACGAGGAACGAGAACAAAGTTCGAGATGAAATGACAAGATGCTTGATCGATTATTGGCACTTGCGGAAGAGTGACTACAGGGCTCACGTTGCTGGCTTTAGGGGGAGTAGTCGGCTTGTTGATGAGCTGCCCTTGACCGGAATCTTGAACCATCTTCAGAGATATTGCCTTTTTGTTCGCCTTTCGAGCCCGTCTTTCGGTTGCTTGGGTCTCATTGCGGAAAACCAAATCAAATTCATCCTTGTAGCCGGGACAGTCTCTTCGAGATTTTGCGCATTGATTGCAAGTAGGCTTGGTCTCATCACACTGCAAGAAGATTAGCAATGGAATTACGAGGCAAGATGCACAGTTGCCTAACTCACCTTGATTCTTCGAGTCCTGCACATCTGACAGCCTCGGGATGGTTTACCGCAATACACCATTGCGGGAAGTTTTCTGGGGAAGAACTAAGGGGGGTTAGTTCGAGGATTTGACGCGCAATGAAAATATATTCCAAAGAATTTGAACAGGTTGAGATCATAAGGGAAATCCAAAACTAGGTAAACAAGTTGGCTTGTATCTCAGATTCCAAGTCTGATGAAGCTGCAATGAGATGACACCTTAAATGGCTACATGGATGAAGGTTTGGAAATGGCTTATATGATATATAAGAGATGGCGAGCTGAAATTGTGCCCAAGGGGTGGGTAATATAAAGATAAAAACAAGATGCTGATATCCGCTGGCGAGTTCTCCTTTGATGTTGCTCAACAGGAAGAAGATCAGAATGGCCAATGAGAGGTTGGAAATTAAACGAGCGAAAATGAGCCGAATTGGATGTTATGGAAGAGACAGATTGAGAGAGAGAAAGAAAAAAAGAAAATAAAAACAGACGAGATCGTTGTGTTGTGTCGCGTGTGCCCGTGTTGCAGTGTAGAGGTCGAGAGATGATATCGTTAACAGGCCCGTCAGCCGACCTGGGAGTGAAGTGGTACCAAATGGAAACGGGACGTTTGCTCGACCTCACACAAGACAGACAGGTGGGCAAACAAGCGGCAGTCTGTACTACCTGGAAATGAGGCGAAATTCCTGGAGCAAGGACTGGCCCAGAATCAGATGAGTTCAGACGTCGAGGGGCGAGCCTGGGGAATTGAGGCGAGCAGGTAGCTAGTTGTCAAGCACGTGGAGGGTGGAGGAGAGACGGCTTCGGAACTTGGAAGCCATCTCAGTCGGCACAGCTCTTCTCATCTGACCTGATAAACGGCGTATCGGAGAGCGGGGACGAGAATTGGTTCCGCCTGGAAATTTGAAAGCCGCGGACTTTTCTTGGCACTCCAATGATTTGCAACCAGTTGAATAGGTCATTGGGAGTGGGCACTAGGAGAGTATTTGAAGTGAGGTGAGGGTAGCTGTGAAAAGAAGCGACCAGGGGGGGGAGCTGGAGGGGTCTGTTGACTGGAGGAGGATTGGAACCTGGCCGGGTGGAGCTCAGTGCCATCCAGAGCGGTTGCTTCCCGGTCGGATGCTGTTTGGTGAAGCGGAGGGTGGAGTGTGCATGGTGGGGGGCGGGCGGCGCATTCGGATATCTGTTGGTTGGCGGAAGACTGGCTGTGCTTTGTGTAATGCTGCCCTGTTGAACAATAATAACATGCGGTATCTCTTCTGTTTGGCTGGGTACCTTGGGGATTTGGAGAGGCGACGGGGCGGAGAGGCAGGCTTGAGCAAATGACGGAGACCTGGATCGGCAGGACATCAATGTCTGTGCAGCACCTTCCCAGCACTGGATGTGATGCGACTGTGCTGAGGAGAGTCCTAACCTGAAGCTCTTTAGTTCCGTGATGGCTGCAAGCCACAGCCTGACCGAGTCCTCCAGCCGTCCAACACTACTGCGGGTTGGGTTAGCACACCCCCGTGGGCATCAGCAGAGGCCCAGCCTAGCGCACGCCGTTAACAGCGGCTTATTAGCGACGGCGAGGCAGCCGCGGCTGTTTTCTGTTGTTCTTCATTGGTCATACCTACCCACATTGGCTGCCACTTCACGGAGCAGCCACAATGTGATATGTAAGATATATTGCCGAGTACATATACCAAACGTCGGTCGTATCGCATTGTACGCACACTCATGTCGTTGGCTGCCTCATCTGCAGCTGCAAAGCATGCACCTTCCATCCCACCTATTCATGCATGCGACTGCAACTAGATATTTTGTGGGTAGGTCTCATTCAAAGGTTTGGTATGTCTTCTTGTCCAGCCATCGCGGCTCGGGCAGGCTAATGCAGGTAAGTCACGGCCAAGCAGGGCGTCTACCTGGAGGAATTGAAGATGAGACGTCGATGCTATGAATGAAGAATGACTTTCCTGCTTATATGCCAGTTATTGCGGTCAAGGCACTTCACTGCGCTAGCTCCTCATCTCTTTTCTTTTTCATCTCTTCCCATTTCCTTTTTTTCCATCTCGAGAGCGGACCTGGCTCCAGGAGGACAGGGATCCACGCCGGTACTACTTATGCATGAAGTCTGCAGATGCACCTGCAGGGGGTAAGCAGAGGTCCTCCTCATCGGTGAGCAAAGCCTCCGCCCAATTCCCAAGCCTCCGCCGCGCGAGATCAGGGCGAGGAAACAAAACCAGACCGTTGAATCCCGGAAGAGGAGCCTTTGTCATCGGAACTTGCCTGCACCCCCTGCGCCTGCATGAGGCGCTCCTTGGGAAGTGTAAGTGGTGTCATCGGGCTACAAACCACCTACAAACACCAATACTCGGGCTGTCTTAATGGTCAGACCTGCAGGATGAACCCGGGACTCCATCACGTCGCTTTTCGGCCTGATGTACTATCCAGCTGCCGGTAAATGCTTGATCAAGCGTGGTGACAGGTGATGAATCGGTTCTCCATTCCCGCCTACCCACCTATGTCAGCATAATACAACCAATTTCCTCTCGAACAGCCGAGGCATCTTTCAAGTTTCAAGAGTCGAGCCCTCTTGACCCCCTCAAACGCTGGATCGGTCACAGACCACTTGCTCAACAAAGGAAAGGTCATTAAACCTTTCTGTCTCTTAACTTTTTTTTCAACACCACTTCACCATGCACGAGGACTAGAGGGGACGAGATTGAGAAGAAATAGGAAGGGATTGGCAGAGGGGTAGCAACGGAGGGAACCATCGTAGAAATGAGGATTCACCATGAACAAGAATCATGTCGTAGTTCTTCTGATTGGCCCTGTCTAAGTACGGAAGGCCCCGGATCCATGCCACGATCTATTCGTAGACTATCGTCTCCCATCATACCTATGATTGCCTCTGTTCCCATCCAACCGATAATAGTCATAATTATAGAGTCCTGCAATGAACACCCTTCGCTTATGGCCCTCGGCCTAGTTTATTGGTAATAGAAAATCTAGAACACAGATCAACAGTCTATCGCTTCCACCAAACGTCGACACCCATCTGATGAACCCAACAGCTTAGCGGAAACGAAGAGAAATAAAACATACAAGACCGTACGAGGTGTAGTAGCCCCGTGAAAATTATGCATCATCATTATCGTTAACCTCACCCAGGCAACTCGGTTCTTTCCGGAACGCTGCCAGGATACAGGCATGCTCGGTGATCAATATACAGATGACTAACCCTCGAACAAGTTTGAAACCCCCTCCAAAGCATCCGGAGTGGTTCCTCTCCCCCCATTAGTAGTAGATGTCGGCCCAGCTTCCCGGGGGTCGCTCATGAAAGCCTGCGCCATTTTTGTTCGCTGGCTCTTCTTGTTCCGGCTGGAACTAGCCATGCCACTCGCTTTGGGAAGTTTTCCCATCTCCGAAACACTGACTCCCTTGAGCTCCTTAAGCATCTCGAGGACAATGGCCCTCTGCTGTCGAGTGTGCGATGCGGGCTTTGGTATGTATTCTCCCAAGCGATCAAGGTCTCTTGGGTTGACATTGGGGAGTGATAGCAAAACATTTCTTGGCGTGTCTGTTATCGGACTGTAGTAAACAACAATCGCGGCTATGAGCGATGCCAACTCTTTCTGTAAATCCACAAAGTATGGCTCGTGGAATGAGGTGATACACGCCTGTAGAGCCTCGGTAGATATGTACTCCCGAATAGCTGTTGCAATTTCGGGAGGTACGGGGAAGAGATTGGAGCCATTTGGAACCTCCGTTGAGCCGTGCCTCCTCGACGCAGCGCTGGGATCCAGGCTGAATTCAGGAATGATGGAGATGAAGAGCCTCAAAACCATGCTGCAACACCTGGAATCTCGGACTCGAATGCCATGACAGCAGAATACCAGAAGAGGCTCAACAATTTCTTGGTGCATCAAGCAAAATTTCCGTAGAGAAGGGAACGGCCGTTGAGGTGCGCCAGGTTCGTTTTCCTGAGGGGCTCCTGAACCCATTGCTCGAGGGTCTAAAATGTATTAGTCAAAAAATCTCCGGATAGAATATATATGAATACTTACTGGCTTTGTTTGGATCGAGGAAATCTGCAATCATCAAAATCGACGTGTATGTCACCTGGCGGAGAATACTTTCGGCCTTCATTTCCTCCTTCAAAGCAGCTTCTCCGGCAGCTGCGACTGTTTGCTGTTGCTCCATCTGAGCCCATTCACCGCTGATTTTTGCATCCGTTTGTCTGAAGCAAGCCGCAAGCAGCTGGGGGAGGAACTGCGCTCGATAATCGACCGGACAGTCATCCACTAGATATCTGACGAGGTTTAGTAGGTTTGTCTGCTGGTGAGTTGATAACCAGGTCGAGTCGCTGAAAAATGCTTCGGAGAGAGGCTCAGAAAGTCCTGTGAAGCCATAAAACTGCATATCAAGACGACTCATGCAATAGATGATCGCATAAGCAGTTTCCCGAACGAATCGCACCGAGCCACGGATGGTTGATGCTAGTCCCTCCATGGTGGTTCGTTTATCAACGACTCTGGCGTAGAAGTCGTCTTTGCTTCCATCTGAAATTCCGGCCTGCCAAAAACGATCGCTCAACACCCTGTCTACGACAGCTCTCATTTCGGTAGGCAAGCCCACCCAGTTCTGGGGGTTATGGGTGGCATGCGCATAGCTGATTCCCGTTAGTAGTCATTCATAGGTGCTCCAGGTAGCCTCGCACGAACCTAAGGAATTTGAGAAGATATGCAAGAATGTCCGCAAAGCCTTCTTGCCAGAGAGCATACGACGCCTGGAATGCAGGAGACGATCTGCTAAGTCTTTCCACAGAGAATGCGAGGAATGATTTCGTTGGGCGCAGAGGCAAAACCTACGAGAGCGAAAGTTAGCTGCAAGTTTTGGCTCGGCAGGAATTCTCGAAACGGTACCTTGAGGCGTTCTTCCAGTTCATTCTGAAGCGCCAACCCTTCAGCATCAAGTGAGCATGAACCCCAGTCCTCAATTTCATGCACCCGGCGATTCGCAAGATAGGCCTGGGCCTTATCTAACCCCAAAAGTCCACAGAATGAAGCATATGACTCTAAGGAATTTCGGATAGTATCTTCACGCCACTGAGCCTTGACAGGGTCAATGAATTCACGAAGCCTGGGAATTTTTGTCGCAGTGTCGATTTTCTCAGCGCGGTGACTACCCAAGTTAGCCGATGTCATGGAAACTTCCTTGAAAAGGATGAGATTGACGTACATGATGATGAACAAGAAGCTCCTGTATGCCACTGATCTCTTGTCATCAAGTGCTCCAGATGCTAGCATCTCGTTTACACGATTTGCAATTTGATCGTAAACATCCTACATCATGTTAGAGCCGCAATTTATCCCAAAAGGTGAGGAAATGGAGAACCAGCTTACAAGAAGGTGATCGGGCATTTCAGATGCCAATCGCTGCAACTCAACCATACTTTCACCCTGTAGATCCTTCACAGCGTCATTGAAAGCACGGTGCTCTGGCTCCAACGCAGGCCATGTCATTAGAATGTGTTCCAAAACCTTCAACATGAAGCTAGTGTTGTTTTTCAAGGCTGTTGTTGAGAAGTATACCAGGAGTTGGAGCTTTCTCTTTCGAATCATTGGGTCCTGCACATGGCATTTTAGCACCACTTTACCAACTGGACATGGCTGACCATGCATTGGGAAATGTTTTGTTTACCTCAAAATTCATGTCAAGAAGCTTGTGGCACCATGTTTCCAGGTCGTTCTCTAGAGCGGATGTGTTCTGCTTTTGGTTAGAGATCTCCAAACGAAGAGAGGACCTGCTAGACATACTTGGAAATCCGGATTATTTATTCGCCACTTGGAATAACCTTTTAATGCTGCCTCAATCACCGTAAAGTGAGAGTCTACCTTGAGAACAGGCATTGAGTGCTTGTTATAAGTAGATTCTGCGGATATCAGTCGTTTGGACTTTGAAAATAATGGTATTGGAAGCCAAGTCTCACTGTTCAGGGATGAGTCGCCATCATACAGATGCTGTAGAGTAAACTCAGTGGTGCTCAGAATATGCGCCACAGCATCGAAGAGCTTTAGTTGAACGATGGCTTCAATCAACTGAGAGGTGTAGCGGCGATAGTTGCCAAGAAAGGCATGCCGCTCAGGCACTGTATCGGTATCCTCCATAAGAAACAAAAGGGATGGATTGTTTGAATCCTCGGGTAAGTGCTCGTATCGAACTAGCCTGGACATGGCAACTTCAAGTAGAGGGCCTATGAATGGGGTGAACCTCTCACCGACGTTGACATGAACGTTGTTCAGCAACCTAGTCCAAGCAGCCAAGGGTGGGATGGAGACCATCAAACTTTCGTTTTGGACTACCCGGACCAGGAGCTCCAGAAAATTGCCAACGCTGGCATCTTGTGGAACCTGAGATATCTTCCTTCCGAGATAGTCCGCCAAGGAAGCAAGCATCTGCTCAAGTTAGATTTTTGGTCTACTCATATATGTAGGGAATTTAAGGTACCTCTGAGAGTTTCTTGAGGACCATGTATTTGTCCTCATCGATGTCTTCGGGATCGACAGCGGACCACTCAAAGAGATTGGTACAAAGCTGAATGGATGACTGATTATACATTGGTAACACCAGCTCTGAAAATTCGCTATCGGTAAAATTTGCGCGGCTGTAAAGTGCATGGAGAGCTTCTAGGGAGCCCTATGTGAAGATGTTAGTGTCAATAACAGCCAGCCAGCGGAATAGCTCCCAGAGCGAACCTTTTGGATCTCAGGTACAGGGCACGCGAGTCCCCCGGCCAAGACGTTGACGCATTGGGCGGCAGAAATGGCCTTCGGAATAGCCCAAGGCAGCAGAACCTGCTGGACACCAAGACACTTGATCGCACAGGACCTGACCTCATCGTTGTCCTTGACATTGGAGGCAAGACACAAGCTGAGAAATTCGGTCAAGCGGCTGAGCCAGCCCTCGTGACCGTGTCGTACATCGGGACCTGGCTGCCGACTAGGAAAAGCTTCAACGAGGACCGAAGTTGGCGTGAAGATCTCAACACAAGCCTTGCTGAGGACCCCTTCCCGCATAGCAACCACCGTGTCTTCGCTGGTAAGAACTTCGTCGGATAACGTTTCGAGCACGAGCATCACAAACTCTTTATGGGTAGGGGAATCAGTGACATTCCACAGCTCGACAAGTCGCGCATCCATATCCATCCATTCGGCTCCCCAGCAACGCTTCGCAACCTCAACCCAAAGCTGGGCAGTCTTGTTTCTCAAGAAGGAGGGATCTTCCTTTGAAATAGCCTGGCCCAGTGAAAGAACCCAGGACAGAAGTGCCTCCACCTGCGAACCGTCGTATGCCGACCACTTGTATCGTATAGCATGCTCGAGGAGGGATAGACCGTAGTGTCGGACAATGTGGGCTTGGGCTCTGTCGTTAGCTAGTGTGTAGCCGTGGAAAGGGGCCTCGGGCATCTCCTTGACCGTCTCGAGAAAGTTCTGCGCATCTCGCCGAGAGTCGTTGGACGAATAGGGGCTGTGAACTATCTCGAGAGCTTGTCGGATCCGGTAGAAGATTTGTTCGCTGGTGCCATTGCTGGGGTCGCCGCCATTGGCAGACATGGCCGCCGATCGATAAAAAGAGTGCCTGTTGAATGGCTGGCGGGACGGCCCAGGAGGCAGGATCTGGTTCGACTTGATCGATCTTGAGGATTGCCAGCACGAGGAGGAGGTAGGTCGCGGACGGAAGCTGGCTATGGGGCGAGGAGCCTTGCGAGACAGGCGACGTTGGGCCGAACACCGCTGTTGCGTTGGACTTTTGGTGGGGTGTGGGACAGAATTGGGCGGATGCAAGGCTGAGAAGTGTCGAGCGAAGGATTGGCGGTCGGTGGGCCAAAGATGGCAGATGGGATGGAAGAGCTTGCTCAGGGCAGAGCTGGGATTTATTATATTACGGCCGCACGCAAGCAATGGCACTTTGGCGAAGGAATAAGGTTGAGCGTGACGACGCCAGGACAAGCTGCTGGGAGCAAAATTGATGCGTGCACGGTGTACTGACACTGGAGAGCAACAAAGAAAGCAGCCCGTACTTCTCCCATCTTGAGGGAGCCTAGACCGGTTGCGGGGGGCGCTTCCGGACCCACGCCAGGCTGGGATACGGGCACTGACAGCTACAGGTAGCCTCCAGGCCCTAGCACGGGCAGCTCCCAGCTCCGGTGCTTGCTCACAATGATGCAGTGGACAGGTCCCTTGCGTTACCGCCAGAGTTTGGGCATGCAGCACGCGCCTCTCGGAGAGTACTGGTATGCGGCCTGCCTACCAATGAGGCTCAATATTCCAAGCCTTCCACAGATCCATCCAATGGGTGCCCTTGGGTGCCTGTGGCTGCAGCCAGCATGACGGCTCGGCAGCGCACAGATGAAAGCAAGGCCGTCTAATTCATCCCTATCGATCCCCAGATGCAAATGCAGGTCCACACCGACGGAGCGGCACATGACCCAAGCCGACGGACGGAGCAAAGGTGATTGCTCATTGCAGTCCATACTGCCAACAGACGCGAGTGGTTGCATGTCCCACTGATAAGCATCACCGCTGATTCCTCATGGAATCTTTTTCTCCGCACTTGGCGATAGATACCTATCACTGCATCACAGCCTTCCCCGGATGCCCCACCTGGATCAAGGAGGTCTTGGTCTGTTTTCTCGCCGATGCCCCACCATAGGTCCGGATGGGAGCTTGTGCTTTCTCTGTATCCCTGGCTTACATAGATACCTACCTACTTGAGATAGCTAACCTGCTCTGTCTACCTGCAGCCTTGCCGGATGGGTAACAGAGTTTCGGAGGCGGGGGGAGGACGTCGGCTCGCCGGAGTGAATGTAATGTCCCTCAAGTCGTACATCATGGCATTTGCTATTCAACATCTACCTTCCAGAGGCAGAATAATTTATCATAAAAGCTCGTTGACAAACATAAAAGTGTCCTGCCGCTCCCCTGCCCATCCCAGCGGAATGTACAACCGTAATTCATACTTTTGTGCTCTTCAAACCGAGCCAATATCTTGCAAGACCACTCTTGACCGTCCGTAGACCCAACCTCCACCAGCCGCGCCCCGGCATACATGCAAGATGCAAGGACGATAATCTTAACTGCTCCGCCATCCAAAGATTTGGCCTCAATTAGATCGAGTCTCCAAACACCACCACCTAGGTTCTGTTCCCCCAGAGGCTTTACGCGCTTCATTCCATAGGACCTGTCCAGGTCGTGGATGGCAAATAATCGCAGGGTATCATCATAGCTGCCTGTGAGAACGAGTCTTCCGCCATTCGGTTCGTGGAGATCGAGAGGAAGGATCGCTGTGACACCTGCATCGTGTTTCCCACTCACAGTTTGTGATGCATACTCCGTCTCGGCAGCTAGAGATTTAATTCCGCTGTAACTGTTATACCGCAGCTTGGAATCGTCGCCACCGGCGTATACCACGCTCGTCGCTGTATCCTCACCACCTGGGCCCGGCATCGGTTGGGGGCTAAAAGCTATACACCAGGCTTCGAGAGAATTTTCAATGCCTAAAGACGTTGAATTTGCGATTTCCCATCCCTCATTTAGCTGCAAAAGCATGACTGACCCCGTCGAAGTGGTGACCCCAATGACGTAGGGGTGTACGGGGTGCCACTGGAACTGGAGAAACAAGACATCTTCCTCTACGCCGTCACATCTGCTGGTGGCGATGTGCTTCAATGGAGATGACGAGTCGGACTCTGGATCGAGTCTGAAAACTGATAGCGTGGCGGTACTGGAAACTACAGCCAGTAGTCCGGGAAAGTCTGCGCTGGGGTGAAAGCGAAGATCCAATAGGGCAGAGGTAGAAGCCTCTGTTTGTACATGGGCTCTGCACTCAAGTGTCAGCCAGCGATGGTTTTGATGCAAGTAGAGGTTTAAAATACTGGAAACTACGGACAGTGACTCATCCTCAGCTCTGAAAACTACCAAACTTCCATTCCGACTCTGGAGCTCCTTAATCCCAGGTTCTTGGCCTTCCGAGGCTTGCGATTGGTCTTTCTCCAAGTTGTATGTGCCGATAACCACATACTCTGGGTGATTGGGGGAGAGCTGAACGCAGCTGGGAGGCAGATCCAAAATGACGGAGGCCTTGGAGGCGATGGCCTCAGCCTCTTCTGAAACAGACATTGGAATTGTTTCAGCCAGTAGCGGTCTTCCCAGGCACTATTGGGACGAAAGGAGATTGGGGCAAATGTAAAGATTAGTTTTGATTTCGGGATAAATTAATCAATTGAAGGCATTACACCTGTAGTGTAGGTGGAACGTTAAAAATTGAGAGCCCCGCCTCAGCGGGGTCGGGAAACCTATAATTACCCTAAGAAAGGCATCGCCAGTTAAACAACGATCAATGGAGACTGGTCTGCGATTCAGTGAGGCTAATACAGCCTTATCTAGAACAATATCAAGTAGTAAATGCTTGATCGCTGGATTAGTACATCTGACCTTGCTGTTCGAGGTTAAAGCAGGATGATGTCAGGCTTGTTCCCAAATACTCCGATGTCTCCATTTTACTTTGATGGCATTGACATTCTAGAAGCATGACTAAAAACTCTTTATCTATTAGGCGTCGTTCTCTCATGGAGCAAGGGCAAGGGGCCGAGATGTGGAATCCATAATACGGTGTGCTATATCCCGCCCTTTGGTCGCGGCCGTTGATTTGCGCCCGAGCATAGTGAAGCCATGAGGCCTGCCAGGGCTGCATAATCCCAGCCTGTAAGAGTAGTCACATGCAGCAAGGGTCGGAAACTTCTGTGGGCGTGACAGGAACGAGGTCAGGTAGAGAAAGTGGTGGGATTCGTTTTGGATTGGGGGCCATTTCAATCTCGGCTACCCAGTCGAAACAAGGCCCTGCAATTTGATCGACGAGGGAGAGCCCAGGGTGACACGTTGCGGTGCGCCCCGGGAGAGGGGGAAGGATCCAATCTCAACATTTTGGGGAGAGTGAGGCCAAGGGTAGGTATCATGGGCAGCCGGGGACTCGTCACAGCCGAGTTTGCTGACTGAGGAGAAGGGAATTGAATCTGGGCTGCTTGTAATAATAATATCTGACCTACTATTCGCGTCGTGTTTCAGACCCTGTGCATGATGATCATTCTGGTAAAACCGCCCGCAGAACGTGAGAGACTAGTAGTGGCAGCGTTGCATTAGAACATTCATGCAGTAATACTGGCTGGGTAGGTAGGCGAAGACTTTAGTTTGGTGGTACAAGTAAAGGAACGGAGCTGACAGTATGAATAGCATATTCCAATTCCAGGAGCATGGCGTGTTCGAGTTAGTTCATGCCGTGTTAGATGGGTCTGTCGTACCGATCTTACCTGTCTGGAGAGTGTCCACCGCATCTCTACATAGGTACCTCATCATAGGACGCAAACCAAATATACCTACATTTATGCCGTAAGGAAAGAAGTTGCCGATGAGCAGTGTGAGATTTATCGGCAACTGGTAGGAAGTTGATCAGGTGTAGCCGATCCCAAGTTTCGTTCAGCCCGACAGCCAAATGATACGTGTTTTGAATGGCAGTTAGCCTGATCCGTGAGCACTGACCTTTGAGGAGGCGGTGACGGCCATCTTCGCAAGATGCCTACCACCTCTGGTTGTGGGAAGGCCGAAAGTAATACCACTTGCCTTCTTTCCATGGCGGAGGGAGGGGCCAACAAAAGAAGGCTGGACCAGCAGCCGGGTAGCCTTCACCTGTGACAAAGCCAAGCACCCCTGTCCTTAACAAAAGCCCACCTGTCGACCAAGTGCGACATGCTGCGCGCGCGGGGCTAGATTTGGCGGGCTTTGGGTTCGGTGTCGCGACTTGAACTGTGCCTGGTACTATTACTGAGTTGATTGACTCGGTCGAAGCTAGGCTCTCGCTCCTGTCAACAAAAGCACAACATTCCTTAGGGCCAACTGACGGAGACGCCACTGACGGATTGGCGCGACAGCGTGTGCCTGCCCCTCGGCCACCCTTCCGCCACACGCTAATACTCCATTTTTTCCATCATTTTTTTTTTGTTCTCCTGCGTGTCATTTTTGAAATTTGGCGTATCCCTTTGAGCAAGGTGTCGCGACTTAGCCAACCAAAAGGGGGAAGTTGAAGGAACACAAGCTTTCTCCTTTCTGTTGTATTTTCCTTCTACCCCCGCTCTCTTGTCTCCGCCTATACCGCTTTGTTCTTTCAATCATTCGTTACGAGCCACGGTAGCTAATTATACATTTTCCCCTGCCGTTTCCCTGCGTCATCCGCCCGGGCTGTGTCATCGACTCACTCTTCTGGCCACCCCCTGTCCCGGCCCACATCTTCCCTCCCAACGAGACAACGGTTACTAGTTGGCATTGAAGAGCCCATATACGACGTCCGAGTGTTCCTGGCCTGACAAGCTTGAAACGGCGATTCCAATTCTTCTGAGACAGCCCAGACCGCTTCCTTCTTTCCATAACTACATCAACTAGAGCCCCCCCGCCGCCGCCACGGCCGCATCCTCCAACATGACGACCGCTGCTCAAGAAGAATTCAACGAGTTGATCTCAAAGAACACTCCACGCGAAACTATTCACCCAGAAGACCGTGACGA